AATAGGTTTAGGAGCAGAACAAAATTAGCTGATTCTAGGATTTAATAATATAGAAGAAGAAAAATCAGTAAAATTATCCAGACTAAAGCAAGAAGAGATAAGGGAAAAGATCATAAATGTAGAACTGCTTGAATTATAAGAAACATGGGTAAAATGTCCATCATATATAAACTGAGTCCCAGAATTGAGAGTAAATATGAGTGGAATTAATATGAAGACAATAACCAAGAGATTTCCCAAGGTGACAAAAGACACCAAGGCACAAATTTAAGAATTGATGCCCCACGTAAAATAAAAGGATTTAAGAAGCCCCATGTAAAATAAAAACAAAGGTAACCCACATCTAGGGACTTCATAGCAAAAGTGGTAGAACACAAAGACAAATTCAAATGCAGCAAGGGGTAGCAAGAAGCGGTGGTTTGTAAGGAACAACAATAAAACTGTCAGCTGCATTCTCACAAATAAACAATGTCGTTTAATCTAGAAACTTTGGAATGCTACCTACAGAGTGCTGAGAGAAACGTAACTGCCGATGTTGAGCTCTATAAAAATGTTTTAAGTCAAGACAAGATAAAGAGCTAGGGTAACAAAAGGTGAGCAAAATGTGACTTTATAAAGGAAATTCTTCAGGAATAAGTAATGGGAAGCTAGGCAGAATCATGAAAATGAGAAAAAGCAATAACTGGAAACAAATAATCACCATGTGGAAATAAATGCATGCAAAATGAATAGAACATCTATAATGATATCTTACAGGTTTTATAAACATACACACAGAAAAAAAAATAACACAAAAGGTAAGGATAAACATGGAGTTAAAATGTTCTAAATCTTTCACATTTGAAAGAGGTTTAAATGAATTGTTTTAGACTATTTGAGTTCAAAAGAATGCAAAAGAATGGACAAGTGACAAGCTTATAAAAGGGAATGATGAGTTAACAATTCTTAATTAGTCCAAATGAAAGCAACAATGGCACGAAATTGGTATATAGAACAAATGGGAGAATAGAATCGTAAGAGAGCTGATTTAAGTCCAAATACATTTGATTTATATTGGATATAAAATAAAGGCTCCAATTAAAAGATAAAGATTGGGTGAAAACAAAATGCAAATTTATATGCTTCTTATGAACCACACATTTTAAATATAAAGTCACAAATTTGAAAGTAATAGGATGGAATAATATATACCCAGAAAAATGATAATTAAAAAATCTGACATAGTTATACTAATCAGATGGAGTTGATTTTTAAAGCAAAAACATCACTAAATATAAAGTGGGACAATTAATGATTTAAAAATAATATAAAAGATAACTTAAAATTTGTATATATTTTCCACCTCTTAGGTTATGTAGCTCATAGCTCAAAGAAGAGGTAGAAAATATAAATGGAATAATAACTATAGAAGTGGTTAGAGATGTATATAAAATATCATTTAAAAAGGCACCAGGATAAGTTATACATAGCCTTTTAATAATGCATAGATCCTACTTACATAGTTAAAGACATGGTGGGGGAGGAAACTACTCAAATTCATTTAATGATGCTAGAAAAATAAGTCTTGTAAAAGTAACCAACCAGCCAAAAGTTGTCCAAACCTAGTATTTATGAATATATTCTAGAAATGCATGTGCAGTTCAATACTCAGAAATTTACCAGAAAACTGATTAGATCAATAAACTGAAGGGGAAAAGCTGATTATATTAATAGATACTGAAAGTACTTCAATTACTGGTAATCAAAAAATTTAGATCATATATAAACATAAATTCCATATGATGCAGCCATGAAAACACAGCAAATTCTGCCATTTGTGATAATATGGATGAACTTGAAGGCATTGTGCTAAGTGAAATAAGTCAGAGAATGATACATACTGCATGATCTCACTTGTACGTGGAGCCTAAAAGTTGAAGCGCAAAATGGCAGTTACTAGGGGCAGGATGATGAGAGGCAAAAGGGAGATGTGAGTCATAGATATAAACTTTCGGTCTCATAATATAAGTAAGTCCAGAGGATCTAATGCAAAGTATAATGTCTGTAATTAATAATACTGAATTGTATTCTTGCAATTTGCCTTAATGTTCTCACCATGAGGCAGTCGGTAACTGGATGAAATGGTAGGCGAGTTAACTAATTAGATTGTGATAATTGTTTCACAAAAGTATGTATATCAAAGCATCCATTGTACACCTTAAAATCAAACAATTTTATTGGTCAATTATACATCAGTAAAACTGGAAAACTTAAAAACCTCCAGCTGGACTAAAGATCTAAGTTGAAAACACATACACACAGAACAAAAAAATCAAAAAACAAAACCCCAAACAACAAACACTGCTTCCCCCCAAATAAGACCTAGCTGGAAAATAATCAGCCTTTAAAATTAGAAATCTAAAATGCCAGCCCCAATCAGCTTTACCTATGTTACAGAGTAGCCACCGAGCAAGAGAATAGTGATAACAGGTAAGGCAAGGATAGGCTGATTGGGGCTGGCATTTTTGATCTCTAGTGTTCAAGGATGCTTATTTTCTGGCTAGGTCTTATTTTCAGGGAAGAGGGCAAATAGAAACAAAACTACTAAAAGAAAACTTGGGAAAATATTTATGCTGAGCCTCTTTAGGGCTCTCAGTAGATTTGACTTTGCTTTTCCCACCTGTTCCCTCCTCAGCTATTCACCTCACAGAATTCTAGTATAATGTTTTCTTATATGTTTCCATAACTGCTTTCTCATAGCACCATGTGAGAGATCTTTGAATGCATATCTTACTCATCAGATTTCCTTTAACAAAGGAAAGCTTTAGTACATCCAGTGCCAAGGACATAATGGATATGCAATACAATTTTTTGGCCAAACAGATGATTGATGACCCTTGGCCAGCACCGACACAACCACTGCAACCTGCCAGAAAGACCCAGAGGCAACTGCCTTATTGGGTAGTATATCAAGCATGGAGTTTGGAGTCAGACTGTCCCAGATTGACTCCTATTTGTAAGTGATGTCATCCTGTGCGACTTCTCCGCAGCTGATTTTCTGTAAGGTGTTTTGGACACTACTGGGTCTGTACTCGATGTTCAGAAACTATTAGCTTTTACTAATGGTTCTATTATGAAGTTTGACTAAGGTGGGTGACTTGGTGCGGCTGAGAGTGGAAGATCCTTGACCGTACCAGTTGCTACCTCACCAATGGGATAATCTACTGGGGTAAAAGTAGAGTACTTTTACTGAGAACTTTGCTGCTTCATTTGCTGTATATGTGACCCTCTTTGTGCATCATCTCTTCCTCTCCGACGCTCTGTCTCAGTGGTCCTTCCCCTGCCTATCCCTTACAATCACTTGGCCCCACATTGAACCAATTACAATGTTCTCCAGGGAGGTTGATGTGCAGCTGGGACTGAGAACTGCTGGCCCTTTACTCTCCTGTTCCCAGTAGAATAAATCCTAGACCACAAACACTTTCTTGGAGGAAGAAGAAAACAAGCAAACTATTTTTTGCTAGGTTTGGTGGTGTACACCTACAATCTCAGCACTCTGGGAGGCTGAGGCAAGAGCCCAGCTTACAGAACTTATGAGAACCCTGTCTCAGAAACAAAACAAAACAACAACAACCAAAAAAGAGAGTGGGGGACGTAGCTCAGTGTGAAGCTATGGGTTTAATCCCTAGTACTGTGCCAATAAAAAAAAAAGTTTCCTAAAGAAGGCAATGAATTCAGCAGAAAGGCTAGGGCTCCATGTCAGAAACCTACCGTCCTAGCCCTGATACAAGTTGGAGGTGTGACCCAGCAACCACAAGACCTCTATCCTTAGATTCCCAAACAAATCAAACAAGCACAATAGAATCTTCTGTTTTCTCTACCTCAAACCATAATGTGAAGTTCAAAGTGGAAGACAGTTTAGACGTCTCAAAAATTTGGAAACTATATAAGTATTGCTATGTATTGCTCTGATTATAATTAGAAAATTCTCACTATGCACGTGACAAGATGTGGAGCTTCGCACAGCTCATTCTTCTTAAGATCCCAGTTTCCTCATCTATAAAATGGTCAAAACTACTCTGCTGATTGTTGGTTCTCATTGTTAGCAGGAAAGGAAACAATGGAGACTGAACATAAGATGTTACAAGGCCATGTTGGTGATTTTTATTTGGTATTGTTATTACAAAGCTGTGAGTAGCCTCACACATATAATTGAATTTCATCCTCTTAGCAAGTTTCATAGTCTCTCATGGAAGTAGATTCTGATAGTCACTCGACCCTAAGTAAAAAGAGAATTTTTGCCTGAAAAGCTTTGTTTCTTTGCAAGAAGTCTCAGGGAAGTTTTGGTTAAAACCGAGCCTGCTGAGTGACAGGTACAATTGCTGTGTGGGAACTGCCCCTTTAACTTGCATCACCTGGGCTTTCCTGATTGTTAAGTGTGTGACTTCAAGAATCAGCCCAAATGAAGTGGGTTGAAATCCTTTGGTGTGTGGCATCAAAAGAGGAGAAAGAGACCCAGAGGCACAGGCAGGCTGAAGTGCCTGGCCCCTGGGCGAGTTGCCACCTTCCTCTGTCCTTACCTTTTCCTTCTGAGTTGGAGTCCCTGGAACCTCTCTCTGGACTCCAGACATCTATGTTCTCTAGTACAAGCACCTGTGCCCTAATATTGACCCCAAGCTTAGCAATCATAAAAGTTGTCTCTGGGACACCCAGGATTTAGACTGGTGAACATGAAAGCGAGAGAAGGGGAAATTAGCATAGTTATGACCGATTTTGCCACTTTCGGTGCTTTTATTCTTAGGTTTTGCAGAGCAATACAGATGTACGTTGTCAGCCAGTGACACAAAAAGATTTTCCTTTCCTAAGGCAAATCTGGTAATTACTATTGTTGGGAGGAATTTTGCAACAAAAAACCCAATAGATTCAGGATGTCAGGTTTCAGTGCAACAAAACAGAACAAGTCTCCTGGGAAAACATGAACTGTCATTCCAAGTGAGACTCTGACAGATGTTTCTGCTTACCTACGGATATGGTCCAAACAGCAATGATCTTCAGAAATGCCTTAGTTCTGGAGTTGAAGCGGCTGTGGTGGATAGGGTTCTGGATAGCGACGTAGCGGTCAAGAGAGATGGCACAGAGGTGCATGATGGAGGCCGTGGAGAAGAGCACGTCCAGGTAAATCCAGACTGCACAGAGCTTGCTAGGCAGAGGCCACCGGTACCCTACAATACAGAAGCTGAGTGTCAAGTAAGCCACCTCGTGCTTCCTGGGGCATGAGAATTATGCTCGGGGACAGAAGTTTCCATTGTGGGGGCAGGCGCAGGTGACTGCAAAGGGCAATATAAAGGATTTTCAACATCAGGGCAAACTCTAATGGCAAATGTGCTGAACTATTGCATTGATTGATGAATACAAGGTCTGAGTTTTTCTGGTGTCTGGAATTATATTACTGTCATGTGAGAAACTCAAATTGTCCCTCTTCAGGGGTTCTCATCCTCCTGCCACTTAGCACAACTATTTTTAAAAATGACTTATGACCCAGAGTTGTGATGTGTTTTGAGTTACTTTCTGGGAGCACCTCTCAAATTATACTGTCATTATTTATTCACACATTTTTTCCTACAGATTTTAGCTCCTTAGGTTAGTCCCATCTTAGTCATCATTGTAAGCATTTGCTCTCACAAAATGGTGGCAATACATGGATGGCATTGGTGCAAATGACTAAATGATTAACAATCCAGGTTGGGAATATGTCTTTACTTGTAAAAGTGAAAAATAATTACCTAATGATGCTTTGAATGTTAAACTCAAATTTGGAGTGTGTGCGAAAATGGAAGACAATGCTGAACACGGGATGCTGCAGCTGGTCCAGGGACCACACTTGGAGGAGAGCTGCACACAGAATCTGCTGGAGAGCTTTAGAGACCAGGCCAAAGTGCCCAACTGAAGTATTCTCAGGAGTGCGACCCAAGGTTTGTCTCAAAAGAGAGTGCATTTTAAAGGTCCCTGAAGATTTCAATATATAAGAAGCACTTCACGTGCTACATTAGGAAGACAGGAGACGCATTATGGACATCAGCAAAGTGTCCTCTTGTGTAGTTTGGAAGGGAGCAAACGGTTCTACAAACTGCTAAATGGTTTTGGTAGAAGTATAAGCAATGGTGTAAGATCTGCCTGTATGCAAGAAGGAAAATTATAAAGATCAGTCTTCCTTCACAATATCACAGACTCCAAAGCTGCACAAACTCAATCTGTGAACGTACTCTTGACTGCCAAGATGCTACTGGGGGTAACTAGAAAAGGAAAGGGTACAGAACATCACCCTAATTTAGAACCTTTCACTTGCATTATTTGTAAAGTGCTTGAGTTGAAAGGAACGCCTTTTCTTTAGCAGCGCCTGAGGGGAAATCCGCTCAGCCTGTTCGGTGCTGATGTTGGCTCTTGGAGGGGCTTTCTCTGGAAAGAGGCAGCCGCGGACCTCCGTCTGGGTTTCCGCGGTGGGGATAAGGAGTGGGCGTTTCCGTGGCCAAGACAGCGCGGCACCCCGCAGGCTGGGGGAGGAGCGAGGATCTCCCAGGGCGGGTTGGAAGGGTTTCTGGGCGAGCGGCTGCCACCAGGGGACGCCCTTGCACCCCAAGCGAGTGGTGCCAACCGGTGGTCCTTGATAACTGCCCTGGCCTGCTCCACCAGTCTGGGGGGGCCCTCCTCCCTCCTGCGTCACTTTCAGTTCCTGCAAGTCACCCCCCGCCCCGCACACACCTGGCGTTTGCATCTGAGTGCAGACAGGGTTTTTAGGAAGTGAAAAACCTCTCCAGAATGCTTGAGAAATGACAGGCAAATTTCATATTTCCGTGCGACATTTGAATGGTCAAGCGGGGGCTTAGCTTTGCATGAGCATTAGCAACCCTGCACAGACTGATGCCAGCCAACCCTCCCTCGCTCACCTCCTTTCTTCTCCACATTCTTGAGGGCTGGGTGGATTTTTTATTATTTTTTTTTAAGTCTCAAAAACTTGGCCAGAAAATCCTTTCTTTTTGGGGGGGGGGGTACCGAGGATTGAACTCGGGACCTTGCACTTACAAAGCAGGAGCCAGAACCACTGAACTAAATCTCCAGCCCCCAGAAAATCCATCTTAAAGACAGCTCTCAGCCTGTCTCCAGGCTCTTCTGGGTAAGCTGCTGATGCTCCTAAGTCAGCAGTCTCAAAATCTCTTCTTCACTTTCTGTCTAAGGAGAAATTTGCCTATATTACTCATAATTTGGAAAGAATATATCATTCTGCTCCCCAATGAAGCCATTCCAGTGTTTGCTGTCTTGCTGAGATGTTTGACTGTCAAACTCTGTTGAGAGGAAAGCAGGATGAATCTCTTTCCACTTGTTTTCTGCCCTCCTTCAAACCAGACAGGAGGAGTTTATGTATATGCATTTTTAAAGAGTTCAGGGTATAATTCAAAGGGACATTTGCAAATTAGGTTCTCTGGCGCAGGGAACAATTAAAACCAGAGCAATTCATTTATTCTAATGCAGACTGAATATTTTAACATTAAACCCACTCCACCACTAATGCTCTCTCTGCAAATGTTCCAAGGTAACTGAAAAGGTTGTACCACCCCATTAGAAGTGCTGGAAACTGTGACAAAGATAAAACTGTTCTGTCCTAAGGCTGGAATATTTGGGTGGGAATACAAATGAGCAAAAATCAAGCAGATTCAGAATGATGGGTAAATTGCTGCTTGATGACTATATTGGGATATTTACAATCATTTACACATAAAGTATATGTTTTAAAGACACAACTTTATAATTCTCTCTACATAACATAACTGATTTAAAGCTCAAAACTATTAATCACAGATAATAGGTTTCTGATTTTTTTCAAGTGCAACATCATCTTAAGAGTTAAAAAGTAAGTAAGATAACGTGGTGGACTGTAGTCTATACAAAAAGCCTCCTAGCCGGGGATTTAGCTCAGTGGTTCTGGTGCCTGCCTCTCAAGCACAAGGTCCCGAGTTCGATCCCCAGTAGCAAAAAAAAAAAAGCCTCCTATTACAGTTGAACCCCTTGCCCCACTCTGCTAACTGCTAACAGCGTGCACATGCCCTTCGTGACCAGTGTGAGTACAGCTGGGAAAGGAAAGCCACTCACCATATAGGATGGTTAACATGGACACAGGCATGACCAGGAAACCCAGCAGCATATCAGCTATGGCAAGGGACATCAGGAAATAGTTGGTGGCATTCTGCAGCTTTTTCTCTAGGGACACAGCCATGATGACAAGTATGTTTCCAGCAATGGTTAGAATAATCACTACAGCTGTCAATAAAGCAGACCAGTTTTTTTCCTGGAGATGAAGTAAGGAGAAACATGTTGGGGGGAGGGACCCTTCACAGGAAAGATTGGTTCGATTTTCAGAGTCTATTGTCCAGTTAAATGCATCAGAAATGTTCGCTTCTCCAGAGTTAAAGGCATCGTAGAGCCTTGTGTCATCATTTAATTGCATTAAGGAGTTCGGAGTTGAGCTCAAAGAAGTATTTTCTTCACAAGGAATATCCATGTCTATGAAGGAACTTGTAGCAAATGAAGTGTTGAAAGACTCACAAGTTACAGCCTCTGCGCATCACTCATCTTGGTATCCCCGCACTGCACTGTGCTAGAGGTGGTGTACACGAGGGGCTCCTTTGGCTGGCTGTCTCTCTCCCATTATTACAATAACTGTTAAAGAACTGTGATGGCTCTTTATATTTCTTCCCTTCACAATTTCAGTGCAGTCCACAGTTGGGTTGTATTGCTTTCAGCAAAGCAGTGACAAAAAAAAAAAAAAAAAAGGCAACCAGAAAGAACTTTTACCACAGATGGTGCAGAATTCTGAGAATTTAGGAAGACAAATGTGATACTGGCCAAAGAAGAAAAGTTTTGTAACTACTAGATATCTTGATTAGCTATATCTCCTTCAGTGAATATGCTGATCACATAAGTTGAGCCACGGTTTTAAAACAGCATGGGATCCAAACCACTGGGGATGTATGCGGTTGACATTAAAACAGTAAATTAAAAATGTGACCAGTGTTAATTCCATAGTAACTGGGTACACTTTAGGTAACAGTTCTCAGTCAGTCTTAGTCTGAAGAGCAGCAGCAGTTACTGTCAGGGATTTCAGCTTGTATTATGCTTAGTTAATAAAAGCACAAAGAAAAAGTCCTGGAGATTAGTAGATAACTTTCCACCCCAGCAATTCTCATGGAAATGATTGCATTTTGGCCAAGCATGATTTCAAACCGTAAAAAAAAGAAAGAAAGAAAATCACACAGCACTAAAATATAGTAGCTCAAGAACTTACGCGTGTCCCCAGGACCCTTGTGAAGCAGGCACATTTGGCTGCTCTGTGACTTGCCCGGTCTCTCATGGTCATTAAACCAATGCAGAAACCCCTCTCCTTGAGCTTCCAGCCCCACAATAGGGTAGTAATTTGATTGCTGTTTCCCTGCCTTCAAAAACTGCATGCAAGAGTCCAGCCAGTTCCAGCCCTGTGAGGTCCCTGTTGGCTTCCTCTGCCACCACTCGCCGGGGGTCCTCCCTCTCCGTGTAGCTCGCCTCAGCAGGCACGCACTGAGAAATCATTCACCAGCCCTTCTTAAAGTCACACAAAAGAACCACAGGAGAAAGTAGGTAGAGCGGTCTGAGCTGAGGGGCTCCCGGTTACCACGGGGACGGAGCCGCTCTGCTCTCTGGCTGCCTCCAGCGCTTCCTCAGACCTCCCTCTATCTGTGTGTCATACGCGGCAAGGTAGCAACAGCCAGGGAGGCGGACCCAACAGGCTTTTCTTTCTTTCTTTTTTGCTACATGTTAACATTGGGAAGTTTTCCTTTGTTTTAAAGAGAAAAGGAAGAACTAGCCTTTCATGCCGATTCCTGATAAGGCAGGTAAACCTCATGGCGATAATTTATTAGGCTGAAGGGAGAAAAGTGACGAGAGAGCATCAATAAGGCTAGAAACAGTGTGTCCTGGGAACTGGAAGCACAAAGCTTTTCTATCCAAAGCCAACAGCGTGACGTCCAAGTGGAATTACTGACATCCACGACAGGAGCTGAGTGGCCAGGAAATCTGTGGCAATAACTGTGATAAACTATCGGCATTATTTCCATTTATTGTTAAATATATACACCATTCAACAAGCTTATTTTTTCTCCAGAGGGAATATACCACCCAGAAGAAATTCAAAACTTTACATAGGGTAGGCAATGAGTTGATTTTTCAGAAACAACTTTTAAATTATACTATGCTTTACATGTAGAAGAAGCCCTTTCTCAAGAAGGCTTTTAAAGAAGGTAGATATATGTCATCGCTACAGATGAGAAAATGGATTCTTTCTGGAATAGATGGGGTTTTCTAGGTTTCTGTTTCTTATCATCCTCTCTTATTCTTTACATTCTTTCTTAGACACTTCAGGTACTCTCAAGCCTTCAAAATATTGTTTATGGCCAAATCTGTAACTCCTTAGCAGATTATTTCCATGAGTTCCAGACCTCTGGATTCTTCCCTTTATAGCCTTGCTGACCTTGACCTCAGCATTTTCTGTCATTCTCCACCCCCCACCTTTCTCCAGGCTTATTTCCACTCCTGTTCACAGAGTCACCATCTCTTTAGACAGCTGGCTATAATCCAATATCCTTCCCTTCTTGTTGCTGCCGTATCTCACTGAGTCTCCAGTGCTACCTCTGTGTACATATTTCTCAAATCTCCTCAGCTCCGGCCCACAGCTAGTCATTCTGTGGTTGAGGGCTGCTTCATCTGCCTCTGGGGCAAGTGTATTAGTCTCTCCCTCGCTGCTCTGTCACTGTTCTCCTGTCCCTGCACATCACATGTGTGTTCCCTGCAGCAGGCAGCTGAGAGCACAGGTTTGGGAATCACCATTCCTTGGTTCTGAGTCCCAGCTCTGTGGCTCTTAAATATGACAGCCTCGAGCAGTCCAAAGGCTTCCTTTTGAGCTCAGTGTTCTCCCTGGCACGAGAGGCAATGGCGGCACCTTCCTCCTGAGGTCACAGTGAAGCTGGAATCAGATAATTTGCTTATTTAGCTCATGTCTAGTGTATAGGATGTTTAATACATGTTAGCTGTTTTACTCTTACTAATATTCTTATTGGCACTGCTTCCTTGTCTAGACTCCTTCAGCCTCTATCTAGGGAGTGTATGGCTCCTTTCTTATTTTGCTCTTCATGCAGTGTCCCTACTTTCCAGACCTGCACTTTTGTTTCTCCCTCCATGAGTAGCCTCTCTGCACTTTAATGTTTCTTTATGTGTCTATCCTTGTAGTCTCCTGTGTCTGGAATGCTCTCACCACCCTTCTCTTTGTGTCCTTCTGGAAAAATCCTAGTCAGTTTTGAAGCTCAATTCCAAAGTTATGGCTTCTGAGAACACCAGGCCTGCCTACCTCTTACTATTCACGTGAACCTGCTTAAATTCTTTAATCTCTAGGTTTTAGTTTCCTTCTCTGTAAATAAGAAATATTACTAATATACTTCAGAGGACTAATTTGATAGCAAAATAAATTTACATATGTGCCGGCACATTATAACACATAATAAAGATTAGTTTCTATTATTCTTATTTTTCTTATTAAGGTTACTGTGGCCTTCTTTCCTCAGTAGAGGCAAAGACTATAATATCTTCCTTAGCCTTCCATTTTAATACTCATACATTGTATGTAAGCTCCATAAATGCAAGCATTATGTCTCTCTTGTTCAGGACTGGCCATTTGGTTGCTGCTTAAATATACTGAATGAATGAGTGTGTGGCTGATTTATAATTACCTATTTACATGTCTGTCCTCTCTTAATAACAAGCATGACATTCTCATGATGGAAGTTTCTCAGTAGAGATGTGTTTTGATTTAATTATTAACATATATTAAAAACAATTAGGGAGAAAACTATGATCTCTAATTTTTTCATTACTTTGCTCAATGCAGTGTTATTTTAATTTAATTAAAATGAGCAAAAGGCAGTGTTATTTAAAAACTCTGGTGTTGGAAAGTTACTCTAAATCTTCTTGTAAAATTTTGTGTTATGGATTTCTGTTCTCCTAATGTTCTCAGAGAATTATGAACAGTTAGGCTTCTAGTCATGTTGAAACTAGTCAGTGAATTTCTTATGTATACAGTGAAATACTTATTAGTAACTAAGATTATTTGCAGTTCTTATTGTAGTTTTATGATTGTTATAGACAAAACAATATGAGCTAAATTTGGCTGATTATTTATTTATTTATTTATTTAAGTTTTTTGAGGCAGGGTCTTGCTCTGTAGTTCAGGCTGGCCTTGAATTTGCTATGTTGTCAGGCTGTATCAAAACTCATACCCATCCTCCTGCCTTGGCCTCCAGAGTGCCGTGATTTCAGGCATGTGCCAGCAATCAAAAATCGAGCCCTTCTCATGCTGGTTCTTTATGATGCAAAAGGTTCTCTGCTTTCAAAGACTCATAGATTACATTGAATCCCCTTTGAAAATCCAGGATACTCTCTCCATCTCAAGGTCCTCAACTTTAACCACATCTCCAAAGTCGTACTTACATTTGAAAGTAACATATTTACAGATTTGAAGGATTAAGGGATAGACATCTTTTCAGGTCATTATTCTACCATTTACTTTTTTAGAGTTTAATATAGAAGAACAGAGGGCCTGGGGAAAGCATTGCATTTCAAAACTAAAATTTAAAGATGTAATAGGGCAGGAGAATCCAGCAAAACATTACTTGCAGCTCATGAAAAAGGATTTAACCTTGCGATACTAATTTTTCACTTGCAGGGAGGACCCTGATGGGACCTACATTGGTCACATGGCCCTGTCTGAACTAGTCATGGTAGCTAGGGCTCATGGAGTACCTGAATTGGCCAGTCTGCATCACCTGCCCACCCCTGTGTGGAGGAGTCAGAAGAACACAATCAACCAGCTTCACTGGGATTATGGAATGGACCTCTCTCCCAAATACAGATCTTGCCCAATGATGACCCCTTAATGGGAGATGCTTCCTGGTTTATCTATTTTTTTGCTATATTTTATTTGGCCACATTGGCTCTGGTGCCTAAGTCATGCTTAGATCCCTCCGGAGGCCTCATCTTTAATTCAGGTCATGAGGAGGACGTTTGGTCCACTCTTAATCTGGTTAAGGCAACGAGCACCCTAGTCAGTCAGTGACCTAACAGAATATTTTCTGAAATAATTTACTAGCAGACACGACCAAGGTTTAGGAGAAATGAATATATTATCACTTCAATTTTCACTATAGAGCAGGATGATAACCTTCCTCATTAGAAAAACACAGAGCTGAGGCAAAATATTTCTGCGCATTTCAAAGAATTACTCTCACAAAATATTATGAAGATGTCTAATAGTTGAATCATAAACATATTTGGCTAAGATCTCAAATTTTGTTCCAGCACCAATTGTTAGGTGTCTACGGTGTATGCCAAGGGGATATTTGAGGCAAATTTACTTCTTATTCCTAAGTGGGGCATGGGACTGCTTAAGTTGTGAGGGTCCTGTAGGTTGATTAGAACCATTTCTAAAAATTCTGGTGGAGCTCTCCTCTGAGCCCCAGTCTTGTTCCACTTAATGGCGTGGAGGATGAAGAAACTGACAGTTGAATTACTTACCCAATGAAAGGAACTCTTTGGATAAATTTTAACAAATAAGCACTATGAGAAAAGCAGCCTATGGGAGGAAAGAAATACAAATAAAAGGAAAATAATGAGAGTTCATTACACAGAGGATAGATTTTTAATCTCTTTGTTTCTTTTTCTAGTTGTTGTATCTTTTAGCAGTGAGACCTGATTGTGTCCTGGAGTTCTCATTCCTTAATGGTGAGTAGCAGTGTGGGATAAAGGTCTGGAATTTGACAATGTGAAATACATTTATTTGGCTCCTCTGTTTCAAAGTGGGTTCAGCAGCCACATGTGATGCAATACGAATATGAAATGCTGCCTTCCTTGGGAAGACATCAGTATATCAAAAAATTCTCACCTCACAAGGCCACTTTTCAAATTCAAGTTATTGGAATTTTTTGTCCAACTAATATTGATGATCCAATAAGTTAAGCCATTGGGCCTTCTATTAATATCTCAGATGAAAGTCCTAGAAACCACTGAAGTGGATCCGAAGATTACTTCAATTTCATACAGCCACACTATACATTGAGATAAAATTACTCTTCTTATTATGTTTTTATTTCAGATTATGCTCAACTGTGCTGTCTAAGATAGGATTGCACATTTTATTTCAGAATGCTACTTTTCTTTAAAATTTTTAATTTTTAATTAAGTTCATTTGTACAGTTTAGATATACATAATGGTAACATTCATGATAGGGAATTTGTGTCTGTACATGGTATATCTTAATTCGTTTTTCTGTTCCCCTCCTCTTCCTTCAACCCTTCTTCCCCTCCTTGTTTATAAAAGATTTGTTTCTGTTTTACCTTTCTAGTCTCATTTTTTCTCTTCTCTTTCTTCCTTTCTCCTTCTCCCCTCCCTAGTGCCCCTTCCCATTTGAACTTTTCTTCCTATTTCACATTATCTGTGTTTTAGTCCATTTTTACCCTTTCAGTTTCTCACACCAGAGAAACAATGTGATATTTACACGTGTCCGATTTTTTTCACTTAAGAGGATGGTCTCTGGGTGCATCCATTTAGCTATAAATGTCTCAAGTTTATGGCTGAGTAGTACTCCATTGTATAAAAAAATCCACATCTTCTCTA